CCGACGCTGCGTCGCCCAATTCAGGTTGTCAGGAGAAGGGTCTCATCCACCAAGTGACCGGACACGACTCGGCTGGCCATTTGACGCCACCCGAATGTGCTGGGGCCGGCAGGGCCGGCGGTGTCTCTGCGGTACGACGCTCCTTCTCGGCCTCAGTTGCGCCGAGTCCCGCACTCCCACATCGTCTGCCGCCTCCATTTTCCTCTTCGTCCCCACCACCACAGCTGCCTCGTCTTCCCGCTGCTCCGGTCTCGCCTCTCCCACGCCCCTACACGCATCCCACTTGCCTCCAACAGCCGCTGTCGCCGCAACATCACCCACGACCGAGATCGCGACCCGATCGGATGCGCTTCGACGCCAGCAGTTGTCGTCCCACCAGAGCTTCGATCTCTGCCTGGCCAGTCAGCCTCGACGCGTCTTCTGCCGCCTGGTCGTCCGGACACGACTCGACAGCCTCCGCTTGGCTACCGTTGACCGGCAGCTTCGGGTTGGGCGGCCACATGCGGGGCCTCAGGCATTCGGTAGAGTTGGCCTCGCCTGCGTGGCCGGCTTGGCTGGCCTGGCCGATGCCGACGGAGGCCTGGACCAACGCCGGCCCACCGGCTCGACGACTACGGCCACGGCCTTGTCTCCAACACCAGCACCCACTCGTCTCCGACTCGACTCCGTTTGGCCTCGTTGGGTTGAAACCCGGAGGCCGTCCAGGCCTGCCTGTAAGACCGGCCGCGGAGCCGGTCGCTGCCGATCGGATGAGACTTGGGCGAGCCGAGGTCGTGGCGCTCGGTTGGACGGACCGAGTGTATCCGTGGGACCGGCCGCGACGAGGCCTCCCCGACATGGGTACTCGAGGCCTGCCGCCGCCGGGAGGAGCCGAGTGTGATAGACAACATGGCGACATGGTGAGTAGGCGCATACGAGATCTCACTTCTAACAAATGATGAGAATCGTACTTTCCAAGAAGCCCCGTAAAAGAGTGCTACTGGTTTTCGACATTTTACTTGTTCCAACTGGCGGCTGGTAGGGATTCGTGCACTGACCTCACCGGATACCGAGATTGATTGCCTTGGACTATTGATTGTTGGGCTGTGCAAAAAAGACCTAGCCTCACGGTCCTGCCACCCCAACTGCTCTCTGCTAAGCACATGGGACGAGCATCTTCAAAGCCAAAAATCATCATTTAGAAACAATTTACCAAAAATACGAAACCAAGAAAGGTGGTCAACTTAAATCACACCCATCCCATCACTTGTAGCTTTGAAGAAAGTCTGGGTTTCGAAGACACCTTTAATTATTTAGTGTGACTCGACTTTTTACTTCGAAGGAAAAGTTGGTTCATGCAATTCGTGAAATGGCCTCATCGAAATAGTCTCAGCTCACCGTCCTGCCAGTCCGATGAACCCGTTCCGACCTTTCGTATATCCTGTTGTAACAGACGGCGACAGAGTGAGAAACCATGCTTTTCGAAAAACTTCACCAATATACTTATTTTTGAACTCACATTT